GAGTGAAAAATTTAAAGGGGTCTGAATACTTTCCGTACCCACTGTATTAGCCTTTACTATCTGGTCGACAGACAGCCATGGTATAATCATAAAGACATTTCTAATACATAAAGGCTACAGTATACTGAGCATTGTAACGATAATGAGAGAACCTCAGCTTTAAGGTCAAAAAGTTACACATCACACATTATCACTTTTTTGAGGGGGAGGAGAGTTTTCCTTGCTGCGTTTGTGTGTGTCAGCGCTGTTTGTAAAGTAGTGACATTTAGTTTTGTATTAACTAACTCACAACATCTAAAACTACTACTTTGTGTCATTTACATTATCCCTTCTGGTGTGGATCTATATGTGAACATGATGCTGCCTATTTGACCACCTCCACCACTGATAAAGGTGAGGATGAGGTGTACTGGGTTTTGGTGGTATTGATGGACTCTGGGTGTCACAAATAGAACAGATTCACCAAAGGTTGATAGGCTATGGTGAGCAGGTCAAACAAAGAGTCAACTAGCGGAACAAGAGCATTACAGTCTCCTTTCATACTATTCATAATGCATCACAGTCGAAAACTGTCATGTTTAAGAATAATTATTAATTATTTAATAATGTTCTTTACATACACTTAATTCCTATGTTACTAACAGCCTACAATCCACCTTACATCACTGATGAACCTGGCTAATATCTGTGATTCATTTTTCCCACATATTTTTAAATTCCTTCATTTTTTATTTAAAATATGCTTTACAAACTTCTTTGAATCTGCGTGCTTCCACGAGATAAGTTACACTGCAGATCAGACGGTGCATTCACACAGCAGAAAAACAAGTACAAAACAAAATAATAAATAAATGGTTTATTAGATTATTGTCATTTACCTTTTTTAAAGCTTACAAAACCTGAAAAAAACCCACAAGATTGATTTGATTTTTCGGAATCATTACATTACATTACATTACAGTCATTTAGCAGACGCTTTTATCCAAAGCGACTTACAATTCAGTCTATCACATTTCTACACCGTAGGCGCAACTACGGGAGCAATTTTGGGGTTAAGTGTCTTGCTCAAGGACACATCGACATGTGACTAGCAGAGCCGGAGCCGGGGATTGAAAGGCGACCCTGCTATCCCCTTAGCCACAGTCGCCACCGGGACTGTGCAATCGGGATTGAATATTCAAATGATGGCATCATCCATGGACCCATAAGCTGGACCCTTATCGTGATTTTTGCATCTATAAAATGTGATAATTGCATTATGGGACGGTTAGCAGAAAGTAGTGCATGCCATGGATACCATTTTTTTTTTCCACTGTGAAAATGTTTAGTACACATTTCAGTTGAGTTTCGACGATAGCCCAATGGATACTGGACGTTTGGGACTAATACTGACATCAATATATGTGAGTTCAAAGAACCTAACAGTAGTATATCAACAGATAGTAATTACTATCTTTAGTAAGGTAAAAACTACAATCTTGATTCACATCCCTTAGATTTATATTTCTGTGTACTGAGCAGCACATTTTGTTGTGTGAAAATCAGCTTGTCAGTGGTCTCTGGTGGACAAACTGGTGACACTGTTGTAAATAAGCTCAAACCTACTTATTGGCCAACATACACTGATACAGATACTATATCTGCAATATATTGAACTGCATGATCAACTGGCTCTAATACAGTCCAGAATTATTTTTTGTGCTTATACTCTGGATAAAAGCTACCAACAAAAGCTGTCATAAAACAGTTTTACATATTTTTATAAATCCTATAATGCAGAAGACAACTGAATCAAAAGTGTCTACAAAAAAGGTACGGGAGAACAGATGTGATGCAAAATAGGTGTAATACTCTAACTCAAAGGAACTGCACTTTACCAACAGCACTTTGGAACTTTGGCATTATAACATCACTGTCTAACATCTATGTAAGTGAGACCTAGAAGCATTAAGTACAGCAACATGTTAAAGAAAAAATTAACTTCTTTTGTCTTCACCAACAGTGTTCTATAAAACACAAACGATTCAGTTGTGTGATTTATGTTTGATATTAAGTTGTGTAGAAGTAGCTTAGTCTTACCTTTGTAGCTGTCAGATGTGGGTACTCCATACAGTAAGTCTCCATTGGGAAGAAAACCTCTTCCAGATGGACACATCTCATTGAAGTGGTCTGAAAGGGGACCCACATAGAGATTTGGAGGTTAAGGGTGCATTGTGCACTGACGTGTGTGTGTTTGCACACCGACAGTATATACTGTAAGATAAACTTCAAGTAACAGAGAGGTTCAGTTCCTGCTCAGTTATTAAAATGGGTAAGACACTCCTTTAGGTCACTGCCATGGTAGGTACTTCCTGACATTGTGTTACTTGAATGCCTGTTTACCAAGAATAACAGAAAATTGCAATAATTAGATGACATAAAGGATGGAACTTCTTGGGCCTAGTGTGGTACCAACATGCTCGGTGACAGTGAAGGCACATGTGTGAGGGTCAGTCAGAAACAGATAGTAGCTTATCTTAACATTAGATCTGGGTATTGGTACTCGATACCTTTAAGGCATAGACCAAAAAAACCAGCACCAAGTAGTATCGTAACTTCTCCAGACCAACGATACCTGCAATCAATCCTCTTCATGCCAACATCTACAAAAAGTGACTATTTGTATAGTTTTGCTTGCAGCCACTTAGAGTCAACTTGGAAAATTTTGACCTGTTGCGCTTACCACACCTGTAGTTCAACTTTAATCCAGCATTGAAGAACCGGAAATTGATGGCTTGTGTCAAATCATCTATCAAATAAAGCTAACTCATTTATCCACATACAAAGAACAGGGCCCTGGTATACAGTAAATGATTCCATCTGTGGCGGTGTTGCAAGCAACACAATTCTTTTAAATAAACTCAACAGAGAAGCTTTTATGGTCTAGATTCATGATAGAACTACCGTCTAGTTTACTAAGGTATTACAATTATGCTTTTTAAAGCTCGTGGTGTAGTGTAACTGAAATATACCCAAAGGTATGTTTGGTAAAGATATGTGTGTTATTGTCCAAATTCCTTTCTACTCCTCCTCTAACTCACCTGTGCCATTGACAGGACAGGGATGCACCTCACAGTTGTCACCCCATCCGGCTCCCAGTGTGCAGCAGCACTCCTGCAGGGTGACATGGCTGATCAGCACACTCTCACACAGGTTCTCATCGTTGAGACGATAATAGCACTCTTTACGCTCCACTGATGACACTGAAAGATAAATAAAGGAAGAGCAGGAGAGAAGAATGAATACACAGCTGTTCCACTTGTGCCTTTGCAAGCTGAAACATCTTGCCAAGATATCCGTCACTGATTTTACCTGGTATGTATGGCGGTCCTCCTTCATTCATTATTTGCTCATCTCTGTATTAATTACATTTGGTCATTCAACTGTTTCGAAGGGGTGGTGCCCCAAGGTGGATTTAAGGCAAGATCAATTCTGATATTTAATATAAAACAAATTCTTTCTGATCACTTTCCTTCATCTTCTGTACTATTTTGTTTTTCTGGAGCCCTTTGAGGTATAAGTTGTTACATATTTTGGTATAATTTCATGCATTTATGCTACACTACTATATGAAATTTGTGTACCTTAATTTACTGATTTGTATGGAGAGATTATATTTCTTGTGTGTAGTAAAACCAGGTACACCCTGATGTATTCAGGTTCCTTGTTACATGTAATTTGTACAAAAGCCGATGGTGGGTCACCTGTGGGAACTGGCTCACACTTGGCGATCATGACGTTATAGTCCTGGCCGCTGGGACACATGCAGAGGAAGGAACCATCAACGTTGACACACTGGGCCTCTCCACACACACTGCTCAGCAATTCACACTCATTCACATCTGTGGAGAAGGAACATAAGAACACATTGGTAAATGTTATTTTGAATCAGTTTGGTTATTGGTTATTAGCCTCTTAACAATCAAGAGTGTGCAAAAGAGTGATGCATTATGTTTGGCCGAGCAGTTTCCATTGTGTAATACGTTGGTACTTGTTGTACTTGTATGACAAGTTCCTTTTAAATGTGGTCTCAATGGCCTGTTAAGTTGCGCCAGTTGGACATCAAAATGTTGTCTTTGTTTTTGTGACAACACGACAAATTGCGCAGACATTTGGGTATTTTCTTATCTTTAAATTCTGTTTGCATGTCTGGTATTTTCATGCCCAATGTAGTGCATGGCACAAAGGTGGGAGAAGACTTTAATTCAAAACCTTTTATGTCGCTCAGAGTAAACTACAGAGAAAGCAGCACAACTGTACTGGATGCATTGAGCCCCAGTATTGCTTTGCAATCAGATATTTGAGATGTATACCGTGGGAAATTACATTTCTGTATTTGTGATGGAAAGACTTGAACTTAACATTTCTTAACATGAACCTCAGTCTGAGCATGTTAAGATACAGTTATTCCATGGGGCTTTTATTTTGCAAGGGTGGGACTGGGTGGGTGAGAGAGGGGGAGAGAAGACAATCATAATGTTTGACACACATACACAGAGGTTATTAAATGACAGGCTTCATCACAAGCATTCCAGTTAGAATTCACTCTGTGGGGCTTTTATTTTGAAAGGGTGGGACTGGGTGGGAGAGGAGACAGAATCATCATGTGACTGAAGTGACTGAATATATCCAAGTCATGTGTGTGTGTGTGTGTGTGTGTGT